AAGGCTGGAGTGCAGAGGAGGGGTAGGCGACCCGACCTATGCTTAAAAACGGGGCTAGGCGAAAGAAAGAATATAGTTTTTACCTAAGCCTTAGCAGGGGAGAAACGTCGGGGTAGGGGTGAGATGATTACCTCGTGCAAAAAGCTGGGAGGGTGTATGAATTGAATATTCACTTGGCTCACAACCTACCCACTAAATTACTGTTTTATATATAAGAATGAAATGTAGGATAGGGTTGGGTTCTACATATCACTACCTTTATCGTAATCATAAGCTTTTGCGGACGGACAGACCGACAAACCGACACACCAAGCTACGGCTTTATGAATAAGAGAGATTGCATATACTTCATAAAAAAAATGCTTTTTAAAGGTTCAGTTGCCCAAGTTTGAGGTATACCGTGGTCCACAAGATTGCATACCGCCTACATAGGGGTCAGTCTATTAGCTTTACTTGGAAGATTCGACAAGCTGTGACGCCCTTGCAGTCAAGATTGGACACCATCAGAAAGGAGTACAATGACAGCCGAAATAAAGAAAAATTGATAAATTTTGAAGAATCCACTTCTAGAGATATGGTGGGATCTACCATCAAATGGCGCATACCAGTAACAGCATTCAAGTATCCTGGTACAGACGTCCAACGCAATGCCAAGAAGTCCAGTGGTGAACTAGAGGAAGGATAAACCTATGGACAGAGAAAGGAGAAAGGTGACAGTTTCCTCTGAACAGTCAAAGCGATTTGCCACCAATGACTGCTTCGACTGCCCTTTTTATACAGCACAACCTCTCCCCCTAGTGGTAGCCCATTGACATATTCCCTATTACTACGGAAACTTTTGCGCATACCTCTCCCCGTCCCTCTTCAATAGGGAAAACGCAACCAATATAGAATTAGCAAATTAACCACTTGCTCCACCCTTAAGGGCGAGAGCTGGATCTATGCACAAAAGCCCGTCTTAATGCCATAGACAGTGGATGTCCCATCGGCCATGAGGAGCTCGGCGTACCCCATTCCGACAATTTATCATGAGCTCGAAATTCTCTCGAAGCTGTCGGACATCTGACAAGAATCAGGACGGAACTGCTGCCATAGTCTTCGAATAAAGTCAAAATGCAACAGGAGACGTAGAAAC